AATTACAGTAAAGGAGTTCAATGTTATAAAGTCTCTACGAGTTTTTGAATAAATTAAAGTCATGACGTCGTTGACCGTTCCTTAGAATTTTTTAACTCCTTTTAGGGGAGAGGATGAGGGAGAAGGGGACAAAAATTTTCATTGTTCCTTTGAAAATTACCTCAAGTCTTCCAGCTAGAGTTTTTAAAGTAAATCTGTCGTGTATACAAAGCTGAAATTTACTCTACCGACAATGTTCGGCATGTGATTTCTCACCAAAAAATGGGTCGACAATATATATGACCTATATCCTAAGTCTATTCCGGAGGTGTAACCTTCCTTGAAAGTGTAATGTGAAGCAGATGTTTATTGATAGAAATACAGCTATAATGATACATCCATGTCTGAATTTCTTTGTATTGCTGGACGACGAAGTGTAAACCATAAAAATTTAGTTGCTGATATCAACCCCCTTGTAGAAAAACTGATAGGCTGGTATCCCATTTCTGCATGTAAAGATTTAACTGTGCGATTTGTTTGTTTCTTCCTGTGGCTTAGTAATCTACCGTAAATGGTAATTTAAATGACCGTCTTACGCTTATACGCTAAACGATGAAGTTTTAGAGAAATTAATGCATTATGATCGAACACTAGAAAAGTTGCAATTCGTTATGCATAAATTCCTCGAAAACGATGGCATGTAGGTCAAAAGCTCGAGGCGGACTTATTTTTAACATTCGTGGTATATTATTAATCCGCGGGTAACTACTAAAAAATGCCACGTAGTTACATTTTTAAGTTTACAAAAGTTTATATGTAAGGGAGTTTATACCCACAACCAAATTATTAGGGGTTCGCACTTCGTCGTTCAGTAATGTATTATCCAGAAACTCAGAGACGTGTCTCTCATTTTGGCTGTGTTACTAGCAATAAACGTTTGCTTCAGCTACACATTGTAAGGTGGTTACACTCTTAGGCTATTGTAGTGTATGTGGTCTTTGAATGAATATAGTAACTGTAGCGAATGATATGATGTAGATTTTTGGACATTTGCCCTTGCGATGCAGATCTCTGTCATGGAAAAGCAATACCGAACCCGAAAATATACTCTAATGAGCCAAGTAACCCATGGACGAGAAAATAAATATATGTATACAACACTGAAAAATTCCAACAGGGAATAGAGTCATGATTATATTCTTGATATTCTTGATATATTATTGATGAGAAATCACCTTCCGAAGCTTTTCAGTAGAGTTAATTTCCATCTTGTACACAAGACGGATTTACTTTCAAAGCTGAAGGCAGAATATTTGAGGCAATTATTAGAAGAACAATGATAATTTTTAATTTCCCTTCCCCTCCCCTACTCTAAAGAGATCAGAAATGCCATGAAACAGTCAACGACGACATGACTTAAATTTATACAGAAACATGTTCTGGCTTTCCAGCGTTGAACATCATTAACTGCAATCTATTCTTGTTACTCATGCTATGTTATGACATCGTTAACTGCAATCTATTCTTGTTACTCATGTTATGTTATGACTGGTCGATCAGCTTAAAAAAAAAAAAACTAAATTCTCGTATCTCCGACTGTATTTTATTTATTGTTGATATGTGATATTATTTGTATATCTATTTTACCAGCCTAAACGTCAGTTCGACCAACACAAAAAAATATATTTTAGCAATTGTATGCATACATTAAGTAAAAAATGCAGAAAATTTGCTCACTTCGTAGTACGCGTGATGTAGATGGGATTAATCAACTTCGACGATATGCTTGACAGTTGTTATTGCAATTGTAAACAATGCATGTATCACAGTGCTATGTAGATCGTACCGTAATACTTTTATCTTGCTCGCAGAATGATGAAAATGAACATGTATATATGTTCATCCGTAATACTACAAAATAATTTGTAATTTGCGTGTTGCTATTGAAATCAGTGTCTGTAACTTTGAAATTGTCAGACTGGCGAACAGTTTCGATGCGCATTTCACGTAAAAATTTAGACACAGAATATTTATGAAAAATACCTCTTTTTTAATAACGTTTACGTTGAATCGACGCGGTTTTTTTTTATCTGCAAACTTCAACGCCTTATAGTTCATGGTCGAACTTTAAAAGCCTATGAAATTTAGGTTAAAACTTTTTGTCTCCATCCACTAACCAATGCTCATTGATATAGGCTATAAGATTCAATGATTCATTTGCTTCCTAATTGATCGCTAGGAGTGTAACGCACGCATTTTTGCGGGAAGATTCCGAACATCCGTCAAATTACCAATAAATTTCCGTTACAAGTTTTGTTTAGAGTTTTGCAAGTATTAAAATTTGAGATTAAACTCCGCGTGTCCACCGTGGTATGCATATAAATCCCTGAAATGATAAATTTTTTTTTCGGGACAAGACGAATCCATCTGTAGGCTGTGCACGGTAAAGTGAGCACTTTTGAAAGATCTCTGATTTGGAATAATACCAAATAAATTAATTTAATTTTTTGCCTTAGACGTTAACTTCCGAGTGCGGTGGAATCTGCACACAGTGGTTTTTTAAATTTATATTGCAATATTTATTCAAAAGGTTGTTAGATGATAAAAAATGGCTGAAATAAAAAGGTAACTACGGTCTCAAAAGTGCTCCCTTTACCGTGAACAGCCTATAGGAAAAGTCATAATGGGGCGAATGTTTTGATGCTTTAGGAATTAATAACGTTTTTAGTCACGAAAGTCGTAACATTCTGTGAAAACTGTTCACTGTAAAAAGAGCACTTTTGAAATCTACCTTTGAAGATCATTTCACTATCCGTAACTACATATAGGTCCCATAAACATGGCGGGTGGTCTTCCAGTTAAATTGCAGCGAATTAGTAAAAAAATCTTTCGAATGATGTTTAACTGTATGGCCACTGGAAGTGAGTTTATTTACGGTATAAAGTGAGCACTTTCGAAATCAACCTTTGAAAAATTTCACTGCCATTACCTACGTATATTTTAACGGGCACACTGACTGTCACTAACCTAGTAGAGTTGGCAACGACGCACGGAGAGAAGGTAGTTCGGCATGTTTATGTTAAATTACTAGTGTTAAGTAAAAATTCGTGAATACCAAAATATTTCAATTTTTTTTCAATGTATGCTAAGTGTAAAAATAAAAAACATTTGTAAAATATTCACTTTTCTAGAAATTTTACAGTTGCCCTTGGCCGACGAACGAGTGTAACGATCGGGCCCATTGTAACGTTAATTGTACTTACAGTGGATGTCGAGTTGAGTTGAAAGATTTGGGCAGCTCTTAACCACGAGGTCTAGAGAGCCGACATGGGTGAAATGAGGAAAGAACGGAGCAGCGCCCGGAATGAAAGAGCGGGGGAAACGTGAGACTCCGAGGAAACCCGCCGGCCAGCGGTATCATCCGGCACGATTCCCACCTTGCGAAAATTCGGCATTGACCCCGGCCGGGGATCGAACCCGGTTCGCCTTGGGGGGGGGGGGAGACGAGTGTGCCAATCACTCAGCGACCGCGGCCCCATATGGCGGAAGAATGCACAATGTGCATACAAGTGGATCTTAAGCAGGACTTTCGAAATTGCTCGTTTCACCGTTAACAACCTGTATACACATGAGAAGACAAATTTTAATAGCCTATAAGTAACACATTTACATTCCAAATAATTCCCCTGTTTCACAACGATGACGCATGAATAAAGTGAGGTCCATGGCGGTGTTTTTTATGTGTACCGGGAGAATACAAAATAAGGAGATTTTTTTTAAGTGCTCAATTTAATTGTGAACAATAGCCAGAATGAAAGTAGGTGTGAACTATGAATCTTATCCTGGTCATCTCAAACGTCATGATATTTCTGTGTGGTACCTTACAATTTATTACAGGTGACTAGTGGTTAACATGGTACTTTTGAACACAGCCTCTGAGAATGTTGGCTCCAATGTAGAAGTACTTCCTTGTGTCAATGTCTTATTAAATAAGTGACGTTTAAATTGTATCCCTTCAAATTTTCTTTTAACTTTGTTCAGTTTGTTTTACGCACGTACGTGTATATCAGAAACGTATTACGGTCTTAGTAATTCCACAGTTACATTAAGTGAAGCTAGAATGAACTGATAAGGTTCCATGGCAATGGTTTGGCGTGTTCGAATTCGTTGTTTGGTTAAGTAAGGGTTTTCAGAATTTAGAGTGTTGGAATTCAAATGGCACTGGTAATTGCTTCCATTTTTTATATTAAATGTAATAAGGCATGCTTTCATCAATGTAAAGAAAATGAGTAATGAACAAAATTACGCATCGTTGGTTCATCGTTAAGGTCTTCCTTCTTTGTTATAGGTTTGAACTCACATATTTTACTTGAAAACTGACGAAATAGGATGTAAACTACAGTGGATGCTTTTTCGGAGGTATTAGGGGATTCAGCGTGCTTCTCCAGCTCAGTACCTAATTTCTTCCAGTGTTCCAAAAATATTTAGGTTCCTAACCTGATTACGTGGTGGAATTCGTAACGTAAATTAGGGTTTCAGGGATAATAGGTTTATTTATAGTTTACGAGGGTTCTTTGAGCTACGGTATGAAATGAAATTAGGTGACTGGTACAAGGTTGCAATGGTATAAATTTTCCCCGAATTACTGTAGCCGTTCATTTAAGCTAGTATACTATAAGAATATTAAACATTTTAATTGTTTAATCCATCTGTATATAGTTATGCAGCCTATTCACGAGAATAAGTAGAAGATAAAAAAATTAATTTACAATTTAAGTAATGCAAAAGAGTTTTGAATGAATGCCAGCAAAGTACTGGCACTGGCCAGCTAGCCAAAATTCTATAATACTCTTGAATAACTCAGTTACCAAAATTTGTATACATTGATTGGAAAAAAATTATATTATTCCTGCTAACTAATTTATCAGGAATGGAACTTCAATTTATCAGAAGTCACTTATAAGTATTGCGCGTTATTATATAAATCCCACATAACGGAAAAAAAATATCCTACAAGAACTTACGTTGGCTGAGAATCGAACCTGGGGTCAACTGCTTGGAAGGCAACTATGCTGGCCATTACACCACCAACGCAACTAACTTATCATCGAGCGATTACAGTTAGAAAAAATATATAATTTTTTTATTGTTGTTATGAGAGCCTGAGGTTAGATAGTGTCTCACTCACGCCATTTGTGGTAGTACGTGCTCTGTTGTTTCAGCTAAAGCTTGTATAGGATGTTCACGTTTAATCGGAGACATTGGAAAAACTTTTTAAAAATGTTTCTATCCATAGCTATTTTACATTAACTGCCACAAGACTTACATGTATATGTGTAGTAAAGTTGGCAACAGCGGAGGGAACGTATTTGACGTTGAATTAAAAGTGTCAAGGTAAATGTATGTGAATACTGAAATGATTTATTTGGCTTTCTGTTTATTTAATGTCATCAGGTGTAAGAACGAAAAAATCTGTAAAACGTTTACTTTTCTAATGATTTCACAGTTTCACTTGACCGAGGCATGAATAAAGCGATCAAGCCAATGACATTATTGATTTTCTGTACGGTGGCAGAACACACCATTTTCATACAAGTTTCTCCAGACAGTTTGGTGAATGAACAAGTAAGAGCCTGTGTGTAAAAAATGAGAAGTGCAGCTTGACATGACTATAGACAACATGCCCATGAATAGACTTGCGTGTAGATTTCACCTATGCTTTTTTTTTTTTTGCAGTTTCTATCGAATGGCTATGTACCGAAAAGCTAGAATTTATGACATCTCCGAGATTTTACCGGGCTCTGGACCACTTACCGACTCTGGACCACTTACCGACTCTGGACCACTTACCGACTCTGGACCACTTACCGACTCTGGACCACTTACCGACTCGAAGCTCATAAACTGGAGGGTTACAAACCAATTCTACATAACCTAATATTCTCATATTACCACAAGTACCTGTTATCTTTCTATACATATAAATTTGATCACCAACATTGAATTTCATTTTCTTTCGTGAACAAATAACAGGATTTCCAAATGAACTTATAACAGCAGTACTACTTATAACACCTTCATTAACTGGGAATGTTTTCCAACAGATTATATCTCGTGAATCTATTTCACCAATATCTTTTAGTTTTGGGTCTTTAGAATTATTAGCTCTTCAGAAAAACAGAACTCTAAAAATCCAGAGCCAGCTTTTGCTGCATTACCTTCAAGTCCATATCTAAATAACAATGACAATAATATGTAACTCTCTTCGATGTCCACAACTAGTACAGTCCATTCAGTATCGTCTTTGTTAACGTATTTTTCGATAGCATGAATAAATATTACGAAACTAATTCTTCGGAAAATAAGAACTTTCACCTCTACGAAATCTGTTAACGTGCATATTGACCTAACTTCACCTGACTTCTCGTAAGGTCTGAAAACAAGAACATACTAAATTACAACCACAATACACCGCAAGGGTGTATTGTCCCTAAAATCCCCCTGAAGGGGATAATTGTTCACTGTCAATGGTCACACCAAGTATGCATTGAGTATTTTTAAATCTATCAATAAAGTAAGCAATAAGTATTTTTGCGTGCGCCACATGGCTACGCTGGGACTCAATATACCTTGGTTTGCAGCATAGTGGCTCTCGGTTGCACAGATCGGAGCGACAGCTCGGTCCAGCTGGTAAATATTGAAGCCGATAAACAGATAACAACTCACTATCCCAATGTAATTTGAGGAAGTAAGCTCCACCTATTATATTACATACTGTAATACGATATCTTTCGAATCTGAAGTAACACTTGCCAGTGGTCTGACGGTACAATCATTTATATAGACTATTATCACATCTGCGACCGAGCGCCACTCTGCTTCAAACCACGTTATAGTGATCTACTTGTATGAACACTGTGGATTCATCCGCCATTTGTAAAATGAATATTACTGTTGGCCTGATCGGTTTAATCACGCGCTAGTCAAAATAAAATCAAGAAATTATTAGAAAAGTAAATATTTTATAAATTTGCTAATTGTAACGCTTGTACGAGCTTAAAAAAGACAGAAAACAAAATAAATAATTTCAGTACTTAATTCAAAGTAAAGAAAAGGGAGTACTTTCCCTCCATCGTTACCAACTTTGATATTCAGTGCGCTCATTAAAATATATGAAGTTAAGGGCAGTGATATTATTCAAAGGTTGACTTCAGAAGCGCTCTATCAGCTGCGAATAGTCTACAGCATAATGTCAGACAAAGAGGATCCTGTATGGTTGCAATAAATTGCAGATAGGAGGTTCGTCAATTAAAATTTTGTCTGTTTTGAATTTCTACTAACAACCAAATCATCTACGCTTTTTTTTTTTGAACTGGTGATAAGTGTAAGGGACAAAATCAGTGTATTTCATGTCGTCCGAAATACCGCTTTTTAAAAATCGTCTTTTTAAAATTAATAAAGCGTAAATTTTTGGATTTCAGTTATTTTCAAATGGATTTTTCTCTCACGTTTTCAAATGGATTTATCTCTCACGTTTTCCTGGCAAAGAATTTATTTTTCGAGTATTTCGGAATTCGAAAGACGCTCAGTATTGCAAACCGCCCCTGAAACCTAACCATCTCCGTTATTCTGCCTCATGCCTCATTGTAGGGATTAAGGATAAGCGTTTGAAATTGGTTTGAATGGAAAAGTGAAGGACGGTTCTGAACAAGTCTTCTCATCGCATCGGCCAAAAATATTTACATATCTACAAGAACTCTGCTCATCTTAACTAAAAAATAAAAATCTCGCTCTTAATTAATAAATTTTAAACCAGGTTCTGGGCCCACTGACAAAACGAAATTAACAGTATGTGTTCATGATTTTTTTTTTTGAGTGACATCGCCATACTTAAGAAATGAGTCGCCCGCGCCTATTTACCTGTATCTATGCAACCCGTGAACAAAACAGCCCATCTGACATAGATTCGACCGTAGCAGAACACCGCGTACGCGTTGTTTCGTTGTCGCGAGTACAGCAAGCGGTGAACGGCTCGTGTTATGCCAACAATACGTCGAGAAGCGTTGCAAAAAGATTGCTGCGATGTCCAACGAATACGTCGGTACGCGACGTTTGCGTCCTTAGCGACACGCAGCTGCCTCGCCTCGAGCCATTGTGTTTCTTCACGTGACACAAGAAGAGTACAATCACCGTTTACTGTAGTGACGAAGATAAATCAACGCGCAACGGCGTCGCGAATGTTCAGCCGACAGTCGAGACGCCGTAACGAGTCCGTACGCGGCATGGGACTCGGCTACACAAGATACGATTACTTTACAGCGGAGGAGATGTTTGTTAGATGGGTAGTTTTGTGCGACGGTTGCATATATACGGGAAAAATAGGCGCGGGCGTCTCACCCGGTATAATCTTTTGGTTTCTTTGTTTTATTGTTCGTGAGGTTTCCCAATGGACATAGCTATACATCTTCAGATTGAAAGAATAAAAACGTAATTCTCAGAACAGCATGAGCTGTTAACGAAAGTTAACTTTCTTTTCTTTTGCAGCGGCAAACCAGACCCACTAACTTATGAAGTCTATTCGCTGTGTCGTCATACTTTTTGAATGAATCTTTGAAAAACTAACCCACATATGACGTGCCTATGGTTTTTTTCCTTAAATATGTCACGTTTATACTTCCTTTAACGTAAGAGTAACTTATTTTATGTTAAATTGAACTTTTAGCTATGGTTTATCTATAAATTATAATATATGACTTATAATTAATATAAATACACATAGTGAAAATAGATGTGTTGGTAACGCCTAGTAATAAATAGATCTGCAGTGAGAGAAAATCGAACAAAATATTTGTTTGTATAGGGTCAAATATGTATATTTAGTTGCCCTAACAAAATATATTGTTGAGCAAACAAAATTTTAAAAGCAACCAAATTGTGTTCGTCTAACAAAATATATGTTTGAATAAACAAAATCTGTGTTGGGCCAGAAAAAATTAGACTGTCAACTAAATATTTTGTTAAATCAACTGCATATATTTGTTTGGTCACTCATTTGACTACCTTCGTTCGAAAATACAGATCGTGAGTTTGTTTGTGTTGTTTGTGACAATTAGGAGATTAACAGGGTTTGTTAGTGCAGCTATTGATGCTTAATAATCATATAAACACATTAATAAAACAATGCAACAGGAAACTGACAAGTAAAGCTGTAAAACTTGAAACATTTGTTTGCAAACGTTGCTCAGTATTTGCAATAAATACATTTAAAAGCATTCCGACGTCATCAGTTGGTACTCAGCTCAACTGGTAAAATTTTTTTATGTAAGCCCAAACAGTTTAATGTACGTTTAGCCAAACAAATCTTTAATGGCACCAACCAAATCTTACAGTTTGGGGCAACCAAATGAGAACAACTAAATCATTTGGTTTCAGCAACAAAATATTTCATTGCCTCTACACAAACAAATAACTTGGTTGCACCAAACTAATCTTGTTTGATTCAACAAAACCTTTTTTTTCTCAGTGTGTTGCAAAATATTATTAGTCTTAAGGGCGCTCGAACGCGGTGCACTGTCACGTTAATGCACTTTTATAGATTTGGTTAAGCTTTGATTGCACGAGGCGGAGAAACAGCCCAAAAGAAAAACTTCAGCAGATTCAGAAAAGTTGAAAGTAACTGAGAACGGACAATCCATTCTTATCCTTAACATCTCTTCCCACATGCTTCAAATGATGGGGTCTCAGTATGTATAAGGGCAAGAAATAATTGTGGAAATATGGAGGTATGATGTACACATTCGCCACCCCCATTGCGGATGAACATTTTACAATCTCCGAAATTCGCGTTTTTGTATAGATAAAGGCCGTTTGATAAGTATGTAAGGCGACGTGTCCGCGAAACGTGTAATCCTTGCGCTCGTAATCAATGAGCTCGTAGTGTGCATAAATTATTTTCAGGGTATCGTCATTCATTAGAGGGAGCTGGCAGTGGAATAGTTCGTGGTTAACCCCTCAACGAACAAATTAATTTTTTTTTTTATTTCAAGCGTTGCGAAATCGGAAAGTTTTTGGTGTTAATAGTACTTACGAATTCC